ATATTTGCAGTTCACAGATTTGCATTTTTATGGTTGCCACATCCATTTGATCAAAGTCTATCAACCACCACTAGATTAGTTATTTATATAAAAAACACACAAAAAGAAGAAGAAGAAAACTAAACTTCCTCTAACTAGAGCCTTGCTTAAGTATAAGACTTGAGAATCGCAGAGGAGAGCGCTCTATGTACCAAATAGTTAAACAAAGCCTATCTTTCAGTCGAAAGCTTGAAACTTAGTGAAGGAGTGATTTCCGATCCTATTATTCATATATATTCTTGATTAGCATCAACAGCCGACTCGATCTAGCCATGGTTGCCACATCCACTTGATCAAAGCCTATCAACCACCAAGCACTAAATTTGTAATTTATATAAAAGAAGAAGAAGAAAACTAAACTTCCTCTAGCTAGAGCCTTGCTTAAGTGTAAGACTTGAGAATCGCAGAGGAGAGCGCTCTATGCACCAAATAGTTAAACAAAGCCTATCTTTCAGTCGAAAGCTTGAAACTTAGTGAAGGAGTGATTTCCGATCCTATTATTCATATATATTCTTGATCAGCATCAACAGCCGACTCGATCTAGCCATGGTTGCCACATCCACTTGATCAAAGTCTATCAACCACCAAGCACTAAATTAGTAATTTATATAAAAGAAGAAGAAGAAAACTAAACTTCCTCTAGCTAGAGCCTTGCTTAAGTGTAAGACTTGAGATTACATAGTTGAGAGAGATTGAGATTAAATAGTTAAACAAAGCCTATCTTTTAGTCGAAAGCTTGAAACTTAGTGAAGGAGTCATTTCCGATCCTATTATTCATATATATTCTTGATCAGCATCAACAGCCGACTCGATCTAGCCATGGTTGCCACATCCACTTGATCAAAGTCTATCAACCACCAAGCACTAAATTAGTAATTTATATAAAAGAAGAAGAAGAAAACTAAACTTCCTCTAGCTAGAGCCTTGCTTAAGTGTAAGACTTGAGAATCGCAGAGGAGAGCGCTCTATGCACCAAATAGTTAAACAAAGCCTATCTTTTAGTCGAAAGCTTGAAACTTAGTAAAGGAGTCATTTCCGATCCCATTATTCATATATATTCTTGATCAGCATTAACAGCCGAATCGATCTATCTGGGTCCGGCATAAATTTAATTTTTTTTTCAAAATTTTGACAATTTTAAATTTTTATAGAGGGTAAATGGTGAAAAATTGACGTAAATTTTAATTTTTTTAAATTTTGAATTGAGTATGCAGATTTGTTACCCTAATAAAAACTGAAATTCATGCATTATTGGCTTAGTTATGATATATTTAATATTTGACATCTTAATACTTAGCTAACTTCAAAGGTATTAAGAAAATTATTCATGTGTTTTTTGTATATAAAATAAGTTTTTAATACATGATTAGTGTACTTACCTTGAACTTTTATGAGTAGGAATCCCTACAATATAAATTATATATATTTATGATTAAAAACAATGAAGTAACACCTGTTTTAATTTCCTTCACCTAAACATATTATATTTGCAGTTCACAGATTTGCATTTTTCCTCTACACCAAACGATCGTTTGTATGGCACCTATTTGATACAGTCGTCCGATTTTCATGAAATTTTACACAAAATTTAAGACTAATATAAAATGGCTACACCTCAAACTTGATGATAATCTGTTTAAAAATGAAATAGTTGTAATTTTTAATTGTACTAATTTCTCGATCGTTCCTGTGGGAGCTATATGATATAGTAGTTCGATTTTCATAAAATTTTACACAGAATTGGAGAGAATAATAAAATGACTGAAAATGTTATATTTTTTTTTTTGTAAAAATTTTCCTATCATTCCTATGACAGCTATAGTCGTCCGATCTGGCCCGTTCCGACATATATATGAGTGGGAGTATATAGAAGGCTAACTACAAAGTTTCATTAAGATAGCTTTAAAACTGAGAGACTAGTTTGCGTAGAAACGGACAGACGGACAGACGGACAGAAGGACAGACGGACATGGCTAGATCGACTCGGCTGTTGATCCTGATCAAGAATATATATACTTTATATGGTCGGATGTGCCTCCTTCACTGCGTTGCAAACTTCTGACTGAAATTATAATACCCTGCAAGGGTATAAAAATCAGGCAAAAGCTTATGATAAAATTAGCAAAATTATTACTAACCAGTAGTCAGGGAGCATTCTGCGGAGATAAAGTCAAGAGGAGTCATTAAAAAAGGGGAAGAAAACAAACAGTGGCTTAAAGTGTATTTATTGACTGAAATAAGCTTTATTTTAAATCATACAATTGTTCACTTCAATTTTAAGCTAATAAATTAATCTTTGTTTTATGTTAAGCCTTTGCTTGGCTTTTATTGCTACTATACAAAATCAGACATTCACTTTTTATTGGGCCATCAAAAAAGAAACAAACAAATCATTTCCAACTAAATTAGTCAAGCTCACAAGATATGTTAGTTTTAAAGCCTATGATAAAAGGATTGCCAAATATGTAGCCAAGTCAAATAAATTTGTTATTTGGCTATCGAGCACTTATGGTTTATGTTTTAAACATTTAAGTCTGAGCGGAAAGAGTGTGTTTTATGGGGGTTTATTGTAGTTTAAAATTTGTTATTATCCTATACATCATCTTTGATACAATATAAATGCGTATCTATGCATTTTCTGATATCCCTCTTTGGAATTGTTAAACTATGAAAATGATCCAAGAACATGTTAGTTGTCTCATCAAATCTCATATAAATATGTAAATTAATTGCAAATTAATTATTTACCCTGCATTGAGTGTATTCTATGTATCTCCCTATGATGCACACGCAAATGTCACATCAATTAGCCGCCACTGAGGGCCACATTTGATGTTTTGTGGCGATTGCAGCTGGCCAACTGACTGCGTCTTGGTTCCACCAACTGACTCTGGTTAGCTGGTTACCTGGTTACCTGGTTAGCAGCAGCAGGCTCGTAAAACATCAAATTAGCTTTGACTACACGGCCTGGGCCATTGGGCAACTTGAAAAGTAAAAGGCAGTTGGCTAAATTAGCCATCTCCATCTCCGCTCACTGGCTCGCTCGCGTACAGCCATGGTTCAATGCCCGCCCAAGCCACCCACTCGGGCAGCAGCTGTTGTCTGACCTTCGTGCCCGGCTCTTTGCCTTTCCTAGATTTCTACACGAGTGTTTTTTTTTTCTATATAACAAATATTGTGACACCGACAGAACAAATATGTGCACAGCATGTTTTTGACTGTTTTTCTACCGATTATGTGCGATAATCACCTTTGATGCGTTTATTGAACCATACAAGCTATGGCTATAGATAATGTATGGGGAAGTGCCGCGGCGCTGATAAGAGCGGCGAATGTGTGTTATTTATAGGCCAGACATTACTCTATAAATACAGCCATAGCTCGGTAAATAAAGCTGGGAATTAAACTGGGAATTATCGGGTGTGGTAGTTGCAATCCCCTGAAAGTAGGAAATCAATAGTTGGCCAAAGTTTTTGGCTTGGCAAACTCGGGAAAAAATTTTGCTGCAATTGGCGTTAATTATATGCTCCGTTGGACGAAAAAAAAACAAAAGCAAATAGGGAATGGAAAAATTAGACTAGGTAAAATGATTTTATGCTTTTTCCGCTAAAAATTAACCCACAATTTTGGTTTACTCATTGCAGCAAGAGCCACGTAGCATGCGTCTCTTCAAAACGCGAAAAACCACAGACACCTACAGCACCTTGGCCGCTCAGCAACATCAGCAGCAGCAGCTGGAGCAACATTTGCCTCAGCAACATACGCCACAGCAACCTTATCCCGAAAACTCCAACAGCAGCAACAAATCTCGCACGCCGGCAACATGCAGCCAGCGACTGAACAAGAGCATCGTCAGCAGCGCCAGCATCTCCTCCTCGCTGCCTGATCTCCACGACCGCCACCACTCGCCCGTCATGATCCTCAGCTGCACCACGCTGGCCAGCAATGGAGCTGGCTCTGGAGCCACTGCAGCCACAGTCACCGCAACGGCCACGGCCACGACGGCGGCAACATCAGCAGTCGGTCATCATCAGCAGCATCAGCAGCAGCAGCAGCAACAGCAGCAGCAGCAGCCGTTACGCACGGCCACGCCCACTTGTCTGCTAAGTGGCCGGCAGACGCCATCGGCCATATCGGTGATGTCGCTCCAAGAGGCCACCACTCTGCACAGGCAGCAGCATCAGCAGCATCCCACAATCTATGTGCCCATGCCCACCAAGCTGGGGGGGCAACATGCTGCCCAGTACCAGCAATATGTGGCTCAGCGCCTGCATGCCGCTTCCAGCAGCTGTCTGTACGAGAAGGGAGCGAATCCACAGGCCTCCAATCCCAGCAGTCGATCCCTGACACCAAATGGTAAGTGCAAACTATCAAGAATTAACAATATTAATACAAGTTTCTAAAGAATTAACCCTTAATATTTGTTTCTAGAGAAGATATTCTAGAAGAAATTTAAAATCTTTTTCGTTTTCTTTGGCATTATTGATGTTCATGGGGAATCCCCTTTAAACCATTATTTAAAACTACAAATATATGTATCTTATTATTATATCCCTGCAGGGTATTATAATTTCACTCAGTAGCTTAAAAAACAGTGAAGGAGTCATTTCCGACCCTATAAATCATATATATTCTTGATCAGCATTAAAAGTTGAATCGATCTAGCCACCTCCGGCGAAAATCTAAATTTTTTCAAAAATTTCGAAAATTTAACAATTTTATAAGGGGTTACATCAATTCGAAAAAAAAAAAAAAAAAAATCGAATCTCTTTAAATGTTAAATTGAGTATGCAGTTTTTTTAAACTAATAAAAACTAGCATCGGAACGCTTTCTGATTTCAAATTAAAGCGTTTTTGGCTAAGTTATGAGATTTGAAAGACTTGGATTTACTCAAAAAATAAGCATAAAAAATATAGATTTAATGTGTATAATAGGTTCTAAACAAATTCTTATAGAATCTTTACCTTTCGCACTTCACCTTTTAAAAAATATAAAGGCAACTAATTGTTATACCTTTGGTCTTTAATTATTAATTTTATAAATATCTTAAAATTACACATTTTATACTACTTCTTTTAGTTTATTTTCCCCCAACTCTCTTTCACCTAATAACCGAGTAGGCAAATAACTGCAATCATTAAGCTGCCATCGGCAACTTAAATCCGATTCGGAAACTTGAGAGGTTTCTCTAAAATAAGCTAAACCTCTTAAAACACAAAAAGTATTATTCATGTAGTTTGTGGGTCGTAGCAATTGGTAGGATCCTTGGTAATCCTCTGATATATTAATAAGGAAATAGCGCTCTTCCCTACAAGAGTTAACGAGAAGCAGGAAATAATCCTTCTGCGCATCCTGAATCCGCCACAGGTCGCAATGGTCATTGGCACCCAATTCCAGATGGTAACCCGTAGAAACGTAGAACATCTCCCTTTTGTGCTGCAGACACAACCATCGACTTTGGGCTAGAATCCTCAGATGTGGCGGCAGACTCTGCAACATGTTTTGTAGATAATAACTCCACATATGAGGATGGTGTCTTCGAAGGTCTCTCAATTCCAGGGCAAAGTTGGCTAGCAGTATCTTATTTAGTGTCTGAGAACGTCGAAGGTGCCAGTAGAAGCTCAGCCAGAGTCTCAGTTTCAGGGAATTATTCGGCTTCAGTTGGTTTTGAAGCTCCACTAGAGAAACTCTCTCCTCCTGCAGGATTTTGAACCATGGTACATTCCAGGCCAGTCGCTCCTGCTGTTCCTTCTCCAAAACCAGGCTCATCTCCTTGCTCCAAGTATCCAAAGCCACAGGACTTCCACTTAGATGTGTCGCCATCGAATCAATTAGTGTCACATTAATATTTCCTTTAATAACCGCCTGAAGTGGCTTCGAAAACCAAGTTAAACTTAGTAATATTATAACTGGGAGTTGAGCGACCATTACGATGGAAAATTTTAATTAAACTGACTTGCAGCTTATTTCTGGTAAGCTTGATAGGAGGGAAACACCTTATCGCTATGAAAATAAATTGCAGCTCTCTTCATACCCGATAATCTCTCAAAATTCAGAAAGTCAATGACTGTTCTTTCATTTCCTGAATTGATATTTCCCCCTGTTTGATGACTCACGCCAAACAGGAAGCCATTTAAAGTATTCCTCAAATGATTTTCCTAATAATATAACTAGTACTCTATACAAATAAATGATTCATATACTTTTTAGCAAAGGAAACTCTTTAGGAAATTATTAAAATCTTATTATTATATTATATTAAACCTAATAATATATTTATAATTTTAAAAAGGTCACTTGCCCGACTATAAACTGGTGACTGCAGTGCCCGTTGTGGTCCTGGAAGATGAGCACAAGTCCAATTCTTTGCCAGCCAACGATCTGAGTCGCAGCAACAACATTAATCCCAGTCATGACGTCAGCAACAGCAGCACCACCAGCAGCACCACTTCCTTGGCCAACACCACGAGAAATGGTGAGTACCAAGACCATCCCTCCATGGGCCTAAAAATAGAAACCAAATCCAAGCGAATGCCGGGAAATTGATTTTCCCATCAAGTGGCGGGCGGCGCCTCGAGTGCTTCTCTCTTTCCACCCGATTTCATTTTCATTTAGATTTTATTTTTAGGACAACAAAGGTGTCCATAAATTACATAGGTAGCGTGGTATTAGGTGCTCCGATTTAAAGCACTTTTTAATTGAATCAATTAATTTTCGGAAGCTAAACATAGGCGCCGCCACTCCCATTAGCTTCCAAAGAGAATCAGTTGCCAATTGTCATCATCTCCCGTTCGATGCATGTTTTGTCGTACGAAATACCGTATTGACCCGATTTCGCATCAATGAACGCCGCATCCACGCAGCAGCGACTGTAATGTGGCTGTAATGCGATCCGAATCCGCTGTCTGCAACTGGAATTTGTATTGTTTTCAGCCCTCGGGCACGAGTGGAGCAGCAGCAGCAGCAGCCTGTGGTTCCCCTTTTGTTGAGGAGGAGCCACTGCAACGGCCCACCCCAAAAAAGGGTTATGTTGTGCACTGAGCGAAGAAAGTAATAGAAGTTGTTTGGGAAATATTAGTTATATGATCTAAAATAAGATAAATAAACAATTGTCAAATAAGAAAAGTAACTGAAAGTAACTAAAGGTCACATAGATTCGAAACTAAACTCATTTAAGTTAAAAACCTCCTTTTTTTAAACAGTTTAGAATCTTCTTTAACAATTATTCAAACACAGCTAAACACATTTGAAATATATATTTTTTTTAAGTGTATTTAGCTGGCGACATCAACAGCCGACGAAGTGTGACAAAGCTGGGCATTATATGCTGCCATTCAGTGCAGTTCACTTTACTCTCGTTGAGTTCAGTTTAGTTTCAATGAGTATTTGATTTTATTTTATTTTTTCGCCATTTGTTATGTGATATGTGATTGAGGTTTCGACTCGAGTCAATCATCACGAAGCGGAGCCGTAAGAAAAATTGAGTCTCCACAAGAGCAGCTAGTTAGGTAAGCCCATAAATGAGAGCAGGAAGTGGCTGTGATCAGGGCAGAAATAGGTATTAAATATGGGAAAAAATAAATAGAAAGACACAATCAAACTTTTACCTATTTTCACTTTTTTGTTCCCTCTCTGGATTTTCCAATTTTCCAATTGTTCTGCCAACCGCAGAGCGAGAGTCATTATGAAGCCAAGTTCTGGCCAAATGGCAATTCAAATAATGCTTTTTTCCCCCCGCTTTTCGCCGCGGAAACCGCAAAGCGTTTGATGATTGCTTTGACTTGGAGCCAAGTTAAGCCGAGATTCTGGCCGACAAAACAGCTGCAGAAGTCGGTGCACAGATAGATATGGCGGCCGGTTTTATCAGGTGGCACGGGAATCGCAGATGGAATCTGCAGCTGCTTTCATTCATCTACCAAAGCCATCGCCATCCACATTGCATGCCAAAGTCACATATTCTGGGTTCGTTGAGCTTTTGCCGCCTCTAATGCCGCGACTTAATTGGCTTTAATTAAGGTTTTGCCCCAAGGTCAATTCTCGGGCTTATGAAAACCTATTAAGCTATGTGGCATGTCTAAATAAATATTTATATCTGTTAAGGCTTTCGTCACTGTGACAGATAACAAGTAGTCGCGTGCTATGGCTATAACTATACCCAGTACTTGGTTATAAACAAATTATAGCCTAGTTTTGAAGAGTTGTCTATAAGGGGATATTTTAGAGAGCAATTAAAATACGATATGGTACTAAAATACAGTTTTATGTGTATAAATTGTCACTGCAAACAAATTACCATAATTTAAATGAGTTTTCTAATAAAGTCTTTACGAATTTCACGAGACTTTCCATAATATATTAACATTAAACATCTTAAGATCCTACATACCAAATTTCATATCTCCAACCTTTATAGATCCCGAGATCTACACCCTAGAGATATTATATGAACTCTATATGATGAAAAATCAATAAGCATTTTGCTCCGCACTCTCTCATCTCGCAAAAGGCCATAATTTTCGAACCAGTTAATGTTTGAAGATCGTTTTTCACCACAGAAGACACCGAAGAGAGTCTTCGGCACCTCCTCCCACTCCCAGAACCTCCTTCATTTCTCAATATTTTTACTGGCGCTGCACGCATGCGCATTTATTGTGGATTATCGCTTATTACACGTTCCTCTTGACTTAATTCTACCGCTGCCAAGGCGATTATCGATCTCTCATTGGAGCTGGAGCTGGGGCTGGGGCTGGGAGCTCACAAGTTGGCCAAATTCTTGGCCAGCAATTCGAGCATTGGTACGTGAGATATTATATGGCATGCCATGTGCACTGGCGACTTCCACAAACTGATTTCGATTACGATTCCGATCTTGATGCTGATTCCGTTTGATCTGAAAGTGGCACAAAATCGACGATTTTTGCATGCACATTTACATAAAAGTATACTTAAGTATTTGCCTTTCCCATGGCCTTTGGTTATTGAACTTCTTTTCGGGGCTGTTTTATTTTTTTTGGGCGTTTCTGATGCATATCAATTTGATGTAAAGTGAAATAATTTTTTGTTCAGAGGAAGATTCGTATTGAATTTAAGTTGGAAAACTATTTTGCATTCTTATATTCAAACAAATAAGGATTTTTAGTGGGTTTTTGGTAGTTCTTGATCTTTTAAAGAGATGTAATAAATACACCTCGTGTAATGATATAAGATAATGAGATATTAAAACTTTCTGAAAACAACAAAAGCTTCCAAAACAATTTTAAAATATTGTTGTACCATGAAGCATGTAAATAGTAATTTCAGCAATAATTAATGTAATTTTAAACAAGAAAGGAAGCTAACTTCGGCACGCCGAAGTTTATATACCCTTGCAGATAGAACTTCTATGACTTAGAATCCCAACAATATAAATTATATTTATTTGTGTTAAAAAACAATGAAGTAATACCTGCTTTCATTTCATTCACCTTTACATATTATATTTGCAGTTTTACAGTCACAGATGTGCATTTTTCTCCACATCTAACGATCGTTTGTATGGCACCTATATAATATAGTAGTCCGATTTTCATAAAATTTTACACAAAATTTAAGACTGATATAAAATGGTTATACCTCAAATTTGATGAAAATCTGTTGAAAACTGAAAATGTTATAATTTTTAATTGTCTTAATTTCTCGATTGTTCCTATGGGAGCTATATGATATAGTTGTCCGATTTTCATTAAATTTTATTCAAAATTGTAGAGTATAGTAAAATGGATATATCTTAAATTTTATCAAATTCTGTTGAAAACTGAAATTGTTATAATTTTTTTTGTAAAAATTATCCGATCATTCCTATGGCAGCTATATGATATAGTCGTCCGATCCGGCCCGTTTCGACATATATACGAGTGAGAGTATATAGAAGGCTAACTACAAAGTTTCATTCAGACAGCTTCAAAACTGAGAGACTAGTTTGCGTAGAAACGGACAGACGGACAGACGGACAGAAGGACAGACGGACAGACGGACAGACGGACATGGCTAGATCGACTCGGCTGTTGATCCTGATCAAGAATATATATACTTTATATGGTTGGAGGTGCCTCCTTCACTGCGTTGCAAACTTCTGACTGAAATTATAATACCCTGCAAGGGTATAAAAATATATTTAACATGAAAGGAAGCCAACTTTCGGAAACCGGAAACGTTGCAGAGAAATTCCATCATAGCCGAGTCGAAAAATACTCAAAATTAGTACAATAAAGCATAATTTTAAAATTTGAATGCATTCCTATGTTAGTTTTTATCAGTTTAATAAAACTGCATACTCAATTTTGAAAAAAATTGGCCGGAGATGGCTTAATCGACTCGGCTGATCGTGCTGATCAAGAATATATATGGTTTATAGGGTCGGAAATGATTCCTTCATAGCTTAAGAAGCTTCTGACTAAAGCTAGAATCCCATTCTTTGAGTAAATATTAATGTACATTTTTATACCATTTTTTTCGACCAATCAAAACTTAAAAAATTCATAGCTTGGCCAAAAACGCTTCAATTTTAATTCGGAAAGCGTTCCTATGCTGTTTACTATCAGGGTAATAAAACTGCATACTCAATTTAACATTTCAAGAGATTCGATTTTTTTCCAATTTTTGGCAATTTTAATGATGTAACCCCTTATAAAATTTTTAAATTTTCGGAGATTTTGAAAAAAAATAGATTTCGGCCGGAGACGGCTTAATCGACTCGGCTGATCGTGCTGATCAAGAATATATATGGTTTATAGGGTCGGAAATGATTCCTTCATAGCTTAAGAAGCTTCTGACTAAAGCTAGAATCCCATTCTTTGAGTAAATATTAATTTACATTTTTATACCATTTTTTTCGACCAATCAAAACTTAAAAAATTCATAGCTTGGCCAAAAACGCTTCAATTTTAATTCGGAAAGCGTTCCTATGCTGTTTACTATCAGGGTAATAAAACTGCATACTCGGAAATGACTCCTTCACAACGTAAACATTTTCTGACACAAATTATGATACCATTCTTTGAGCCAATATTTATCCATATTTTTTACTACAATTTTTTCGACCAATCTAAGCTTACAAAATGCATAACTAAGCCAAAAACGCTTTAATTTTAATTCGGAAAGCGTTCCAATGCTGGCTTTGATCAGTTTAATAAAACTGCATACTCCATTTATTATTTCAAGAGATTCGATTTTTTTCCAATTTTTGGCAATTTTAATGATAAAATTTTTAAATTTTCGGAGATTTTGAAAAAAAATAGATTTCGGCCGGAGACGGCTTAATCGACTCGGCTGATCGTGCTGATCAAGAATATATATGGTTTATAGGGTCGGAAATGATTCCTTCATAGCTTAAGAAGCTTCTGACTAAAGCTAGAATCCCATTCTTTGAGTAAATATTAATTTACATTTTTATACCATTTTTTTCGACCAATCAAAACTTAAAAAATTCATAGCTTGGCCAAAAACGCTTCAATTTTAATTCGGAAAGCGTTCCTATGCTGTTTACTATCAGGGTAATAAAACTGCATACTCGGAAATGACTCCTTCACAACGTAAACATTTTCTGACACAAATTATGATACCATTCTTTGAGCCAATATTTATCCATATTTTTTACTACAATTTTTTTCGACCAATCTAAGCTTACAAAATGCATAACTAAGCCAAAAACGCTTTAATTTTAATTCGGAAAGCGTTCCAATGCTGGTTTTTATCAGTTTAATAAAACTGCATACTTTATTTAACATTTCAAGAGATTCGATTTTTTTCCAATTTTTGACAATTTTAATGATGTAACCCCTTATAAAATTTTTAAATTTTCGGAGATTTTGAAAAAAAATAGATTTTGGCCGGAGACGGCTTAATCGACTCGGCTGATCGTGCTGATCAAGAATATATATGGTTTATAGGGTCGGAAATGATTCCTTCATAGCTTAAGAAGCTTCTGACTAAAGCTAGAATCCCATTCTTTGAGTAAATATTAATTTACATTTTTATACCATTTTTTTCGACCAATCAA